CACTGCTATATATACAGGGTAATAAGCTGACTCTGAAGGCAACCATAACCATTTGTAAGGGTGAAGCAAAATAAAAGGAAGAGGAAGGTTTATCTGCATGCTTTAAACCAAACTCTCAGAAGGTGCTGCTAGGAGATTTCCTTGTCAAACCCGACTGACAAGGGGCAGTCATTCAGTAGACCCTTTCAGTTCAAGTTCTGACTGTGTGTCTGCACCGTGGGCTCTGCTGGAAGGGGTGCCGTGATGCGGGCAGGGCACCTGGCCAGTACAACTGATGGAGTTGTCTCTCTTACCCACAGGCTGCCCTTTCCCTTGTGATTCCTCTGTATTTCATGCCTGCCTGATGCCAACACGGAATCCAGACTGACAGAGCACGGGTGCCCATGGATAGCTAAGACCAACTTGGGAGAGGCTTAGGATGCACTGTGGCTCCTTGGTCTATCATCAACTTCCAGGCATTGGCATCATGTGACCCTTTCAGCCTGGTCATCTCTTATTCGTTTTGCCTGAAGTGACCTTCCTCACCTAGTGAACTTGGGAAATCCCACTCGGCCTTCCTCTCAGCGTTCCCTTAGATAAGCCATTGGCATTTTTATTTTAAAAGAAGAGGACAGTTAATACAAATGAATCTCTAACATGTGGGACTCCTGGTAGTGTGTGAGCAGGAAGCTAGTGTCTTAACCCATATGGGGCAATATTTGGCATGGACTTGGCAATATTAGACCTGGATCTGCAGGTCTAAGAAGCAAGCAGTTGGCTGAATGGGATTTGCTTCACAAGTCAGCAGAAACACTTCCAATTGCCAAAAGAGAATCTAATTATCTTTGGGTATTTTTATAACAATTATTACGGTACGAGCTTTTTAATTCCAACACTGACTATAGTGGCAGAAAATAGAAAATAACCCAAATGTCCATGAAAAGGCATGGTGAAACAATACCAGGTACTTTAATACTCTGGAATTAAAAGAAATTATATGGAAGGGAGACCTATATATTCTGTCTTGGAAAGTTGTTTAAGATCTACCTCTGAATGAAAAGGAAAAACAGAATAATAATATATCTAATAGGAAATGACATATAAGAACAACCTCTCAAATGAACTTTGTACATTCTTTCTTGGCATACTTATTTGCTGGCAAATGCAAAGTGTTCAGAAGCATGAATACCAAACAGATCACAGTTGTGTCGGAAAAGGGGGCAGGAGAGGGGTGACGATCTGAATTGTTTTTTTAAACACAGAAAAACATATGTATATATTTCTTTTGCAATTAAATACTTTTAAGTGAAAAGCTAAATTGTTAATGGCGGCCCTGTAGTGGCTTACATCAAATACTGAATCTGTGTTTATAAATTCCAGTGACTCAACACAAAGCCAGGACAGTTCCAAGGTGAGGGGCTGGAGGGACATTTCATTCTTTTTCAATTTCATCTATTCTTTACCACTTGCCAACTTCTGAGCTGGCTCCAGATACAGCAAATGGGAATTTGATGGGAGGAGGCTTTCTACGAAGATGATTTCAGGCACCTGCTCCAGCTAAGGATCTTCTTGTTCTTAATGCAGAATGTACAGACAGCCAATACGCCAATCAGCAGGGTGACTATTCATACCCTTCCTCCTGACTGTAGCCCACAGGGCCCTGTGAGAGTGGTCACTCCTCCACCTGAGAGCACCTTGCTTTTGAGAGCAAGATGCTTATGGTACAAGCCGATGGCTGGCATTTATCACATCTCCTCTTTACACAAGCCCACTCGCTGATGTGGATGCTTTTCTGGAGAAACTGCATGGAACAGAGGAAACTGGTAGATGTGGTAACTTTTTTTTTTTTATTTTTTTAACCTTTATTTATTTTTGAGACAGAGACAGAGCATGAACGGGGGAGGGGCAGAGAGAGAGCGAGACACAGAATCGGAAGCAGGCTCCAGGCTCTGAGCCATCAGCCCAGAGCCCGACGCGGGGCTCGAACTCACGGACCGCGAGATCGTGACCTGGCTGAAGTCGGACGCTTAACCGACTGAGCCACCCAGGCGCCCTGGTAGATGTGGTAACTTAACAAAAATCTTTTTGGGTCAGATGCTATCATGCAATACTCACGTGAACAAAGCTCTGAGAGAGCAGGTGAGTTGTAGGCAGTAATGTCTGTGATTCTGTGATTAATAAACACAACTGCATTGACTAACATTTATATACCTGGACACTTACTGCTGAGTAACATTTTTAATTGAAATTTTAATTTTATAAGATACAGATGAAAAATACTATTGAACAGACTCTTTATTATGATTCAATCATCTCTGATGTTTTCTTTGATAGGGGTCAGGGTTTATTTGAATTTTATATACGAACTTTACCAAAGAGAGGGTGCAACCTATTTAGGGATAGCCTAAAATGTGTGTGTGTGTGTGTGTGTGTGTGTGTGTGTGTGTGTGTGTGTATTCTCAATAACCTGAAGAGGGAGGGTCATCGCCTACACTTAGTCTTATTCCAGTGACTTGAATAGTGTCTGGAACAATATAGACCCTGTGTACTGGGACCTCCCCTCATCGATACCAAAGGGAAAATGATATAACTTCCTTGACTGAGTCAGTGAGAAAAAAATCAATTCTGAAATTAGCTTTAGGGGTTTCCAATGCCCTTTACAATGTCTAAACATGCTGGTACATGCACGTAATAAAACTCTCTTCTTGGGCGTTCCTTCACTGGTAAGTGTGGATATGTCAGCAGCCCTCTGCAGTTTTCCACGCTGTGCACGCTGACGGCCTCACTGACCCCCTGCTGTAAAAATGTCATTTCTATTTTCCTCAGGTTTTATGCTATGCTTCGAATAAATCACAGCTTATCCCTGTTTTCCAAAGTTCTAGGAATCCCTAACATCAGAGATAAGGGTATCTGAGGGTACAAGTCCGTGTTGTTTCCTTCCTTTAAAGGAAAAATGTAGGCTGTTTTGGTAATTCTTGTTCTTAATTAAAACACGTTGTTACAATCTCAAATACGGAAGTGCTCAAATGGAAATGTGGAAGTCCTCACCTGTGTACTGCAGCTGGCATGAGAGGAGAAGAGGAACTTTCACGTGGATCTGGCCCTGCTGGTGAGGCATCCCTCTCCCTCCCTCTCCCTCCCTCCCTCCCTCTCTTTTTCACATTTTAAGATCAGGATATTCAAACATGCACACGTGAGATGAAAGAGTATAATGAATAGCCATGCCCTCCATTAACTCACTTACAAAAATTTTCAATACCTATCTGTTTTTTAACATTTTATAACAAATTTCGGGATACCTGGGTGGCTCAGTGGGTTAAGCATCTGACTCTTGATTTCGGCTCAGGTCACGATCTCATGGTTTGTGAGATTGAGACCCGCTTCAGGCTCTGTGCTGACAGCGTGGAACCTGCTTGGGATTCTCTCTCTCTCTCTCTCTCTCTCTCTCATATCTCTGCCCTTCCCTTGCTTGCACTCTCTATCTCTATCTCTCTCAAGATAAATAAAGTTAAAAAAAAAATGTCACACATCATATATCCTTAAAGCATAAGGTTTCTTTTTTCTAAGTCAAACCAAAATACCATTGTCACACCTAAATAAGTAACTATATTTAGTTAACACAATAAAAGTAATAAGAATATTTATATTTAGAAATAATCTAATACCACCTTGATAGTTAATTTTATGCCTCAATTTGACTGGGCTATGGGGTGCTCAGATATTTGGTCAAATATTGTTGTGGGTGTTTCCGTGAGGGCTGTTTTTGATGAGATTAACATTTTAAATAGTAGGTAGAGTAAAGCAGGTTGCTCTCCCAATGTGGGGAGGCCTTGTCCAATCAAGTAAAGGCCTGAATAGAACAAAAAGGTTGACCTTTTCCTGAGTAAGAGGGAATTCTTCCTGCCTGCCTTCAAACTGGAAATTGGCTTTTTTTTTCTGCCTTCACATTCAGGCTGAAACACTGGCTTCTCCTGGGTTTTGAGCCTTCTGGCCTTTAGTAGCAGCTACACCATTGGCTTCCCTGTTCTCATGCTTTCAGACTTGGACTCAAACAAACCATCAGCTCTTGTCAGTGTCCAGCTTGCAAAGTCACCTTGCAGATCTTGGGGACTTAGACTTGCGATCCAATTCCTACACACACACACACACACACACACACACACACACACACACACACGTACATATATGTACATGTATATACATGTGTATATATATAGATGCATATATATATATGTATGTAATTTCCTATTTGTTCTGTTTCTCTGTCCCTGATGAATATATCACCTTATCACCAGTCCATATTCAATTTCTCCAAATGGCTGAAAGATGTTTTTATACATAATGTTTGGAGTAGAATCCAAATAAGTTCTGTATACTATTTTTAAAGTCTATACACATCAACTACACTTGTGGAAAAGTCATGAAATATTTTCTTTTATGGTATTTCTTAGATGATATTGGATAAGCCCCACAACACAGAACATTAAACACGAACTTTTAGAAGGTAATTCCAGATTTACAAAGATCAGGATGCATGCCTTAAATGTGTCAAGACTGGACACAGAAAGAAAAGGAAACACACTTCCACGAACAGCTTTATACTTGTGATAAGTCACTGAGCTTCTTTGTTCGCTCTATGTTCCACATCGATAAAACAGGAAGTGCACCTGTGAAATATTTACTTGGCCTTCTTCACAGAGATGCAATGAGAGTAAAGGGTAGTTTCACAGAAATAGTTCTGAAATGAAGTATCATAAAATGAAGAAACTTATTATAATCATCATCATCTTCTCCATCCAAGGAACCCATTTTTTTCTTTATTTGCAAGTAGGGTCTCATTCTCAGATGAAATTTGTACTATTCACACAAATCTGTGCCACATTACTAAAAGGACGAAAAACAAATAAATCGTGCTGTAAAGCAAAAGCCCTGGTCTTCAAGCAGGAGTAATTCTGCACGTTTCACACAGGCTGAAAAACAGCAGAGATTGACCTCTCAAGGTCATCACTTCAGAAACTCACCCGGTACTGTTGAGATAACTCTGTCCTAAGCTGCAATCCTTTGACAGAGAAGACGGATTGAACCAAAATGCTGGCAGACACTGACCATTGCTGTGTCGCTCATAACCGTAGTCACTGTGGGGGGGAAGGGCCAAAAGAAACCTGTCAGCAGGTGGCAAAATTACTGAGAATGGTTTCATGGTAGTCCACGGCCAACTTCTACTCTAGCCAAGTGGTCAACAAACAAGAGTTCACCAAATCAATACCTTTCCAAAAATGGAAGTGTTTTTCCCCTGTGGAATATCTGTCAATTACCCAGGCTAATGCCGGAAGAGATAACTTGAAAGCAACAGAGATGCTTGTGTAGAGATGAAGACTCAATGACCAATAGTTCCAATTAAACGGCTTTAAGCTGAGAGAGCAGATTATGTTCTCATTAGGAGAATACACAACACTGATGGTGGCTGGGCCCCAAGATAGCTACAAAGAGAAAACACACAGTGGTGGGAGCTCAACCCTCAGTGTCAACATCACTGACACAAACACAGCCACATGTGGTACGATTCCCATTACTGGTGATGTCTTTGGGGTGCTTTTCCAAGACATCTGGATCTACCAAGTAGAACTGAGCCAGGTCTCTCTGTGCACAAGCCATATGCTTCAAAGTCACAGCAGAAAAGGAAATGTCCTTCAGGAATGTCATGAGCATTTCTCTGAGGAAAATTTTGTCCTAGTCAGTTAGCATTGTCAGTAGAGACTGACAGCTTGAAAGCCTCTCTCTTGCTTGGCAAGAGTCAAAGATTTTTCTCCCAGCCTCCTCTGTTTCTTGGTTCCAGAGCCCTCTGTGTGGCCTGATATCCTTGGCTTCTGGAGGATGAACTTGGGCACAGAGATTGACAACAAATTGACCTCCACATGCACAGACAAATCACAGGCAGTCACTAGCAAGCATTAGTATGAATCGGCCCATCTGTGTGATGGAGGTGAGATGTTGGCACACAAGGGTCGGGAAGGGAGAAACAGGCTTAGCCATGGGGCCTGTCACCAGGCAGCTGGCACTTAGAATCCTGCACATATCAGCTGGATTTGGTGCTGGTTCAACACAGCATGGAGAGGAAGACTTCAGAAATGCTGCCTGCAGGATACCCGGTGTTCATTTCAGGGAATTATTTTACAAGTGCTGGGGATGGCAGGCAAGGTCATCTGGGGGAACGTCCAGGGGAGAGCCAAGACGAGAGGGAACATTTAGTGACAACCACCTTTTATTACGCTATAGGCAAGTGGACTCATTGAGGCTTTGGCTACTGGTAGAAACTCAACAAAGTCATGGTGAGTCTTCCAAAATATTTTTAGAAATCATTCAGTAACAAAACCCCCTTTTTTTTTTGACCAGAAAACCTTGCAATGGCCTCGTTTATGATTCATTGACCACTTCTCAGAATACATTTCAGTTAGAGGTAGATTCCAGTCACAGATGAATATAAGAATTGGGCCAACACTGTAGGGGAGGCAGAGATATGGGAAGGGCAAAGCCTAATTGCCTTCCTTACCCTGTGTTCCTTTTACTCTAGATTAGCTTAAAATGGAAGAAGAAAAACAACACATGACAATAACAAAAGACTCATTTACTGTGGAACCTTGTGGAAAAGACTGCCCCAAAACCCACACTTCCAGGAGACATCAGGGAATCAAGACATCTCATCTCATTTTTTCTCTTTGGTTTTCTACTAGAATACATTTGCTCTTTACAAAGGAATGACTATTTGGTAAGGCCAAAGCTAAATGACTAAGATAAAATGTCATCCTTTACAAATCCTCTTTGAATAGAGGGGATAAGGGAGAAACAGTTGGAAAGAAGGATGGGATAAATGACTTTAAAATTCCATGGAAGTTTTCCTTATGAATGCATTTCAGGGTGTCAGTCCTGAAAGGTAGGGCAGGAAAAATATATTTTTTATCATTGTAATAATGTTGCACTGGCTGCAATGGAAGTTACAGCTGGGGCAGAATTCCTTGTGAGCTCCAATGTAACTGAAGTTCTCTTGTCCTCTGGCTGAGCCCAAGAGATCTAGCACTGGCTCTTGGCTTGCCTTGTCTACCAAAAGAGGGAAACAGCCCTGGGTTATTGGTCTGAGACCTGGTGGCCAATTTTGGCAGGCCTGCACAGAACTATTCACTCAGAGGATGTTTCCAGAGGTCTACCATGAGAGAAGACTTCCATTTTCTAAGCTATAAGATGTGTATGTGCACAGTATCTCAGCCCAGCACTGATATTTTGACGGTCAGATAAGTGATCTATGATTGCTACATAGGTAGATATCCAATGTTAAAGGAATAACTTTGGTTCCTTATGCACGTCAAGTTTTAATCACTTAACATTGACATATATATTTAACAATTGTTTTCTCTAAACCGAAACATATAAATTTAAGGAAAAAGGAAAAAAAAGAAGAAAAAGGAACAGAAAATGAGATGGATATGATGAAGGGAGTTACCACCTACTCATCCTTAATAATTTCCAACCTCATTTGAATGCCAACACTGACCTGGAACAAAGTAAGGGCATTGCTGACAACACAGGCTAGCTTTCTGCTTATCAAATGCTTCAGGAAGAATGCTATCGTGCTCAAATATCTCAGTACTTTTCTGGTTTATACTAGCTTAATCCTGGTAAAGGGAGAGGTCTCCCATACCACCACGTCCACAGAGCCATAGACTGCCAATGGCCACTGAATCCTTGCCTTGAAATCAGAAAAGTCTTCCATAGCTTGCATACACAATTATCAGCTAACTAACCACTGACTGAAAACTCCCAGTGACAGCAAAGTTACTGCTTTATAAGCTCATTGTTCCACTACTAGGAACCTAGATTCTAGGAAGTTTTTACCTTGAGCACAAATATATCTGCTCTCTGAAAAGTCAACTTACTGTTTTCAGTGCTGTGGTCTGAAGCAACTCAAGGGGGGATCTGGTCTCCCTTTTTGTCCTGAGATCTAGCAAACATGTGGGGATAGCTATAAGACATCTTCTGAATCCTCTTTCAGTCCAAAGAAATTCCTAGTTTTTCATATACACATGCACATAACCAATAAATGTTGTCCTCCAAAGGTAATTTCATAAGAATACGAGGCTTGTCACTTAGCTCTGTATATGTCACTATTATTTCAAACCTCAGCTTTCATTAAGACTCACACAGATTTGATACACTGAGTATCAGTACAAGCTTACCAGTCAAAATCGGCCTCCGTGCAGACACAAGGTTCAGATTCCATAGCTCCTGCATATTTTCCTTGCATACACTTCCTCTCTGATTTTCGCTTCTTATATACCCTTTTTGCTCCCATGATGCATGCTTCCCCCTGTAAGGAGACAAGGATCTCACTCAGTTGGGCACATCACTTGGACCTTCCCTACTTCAATTCAGGACACTCAGAGAGATGTTCTCAAACCTTAGTGTAATGTGGACATAGGTCACCTACTTTGTACTAATGGCATTTTCTTTTTGATGTAGAGAACTCTGGTGTAGAATGCAACTATAAATGCAATCCTAAGAAGCAATGAGGGTGTGTCAAAAACCATCCTTCACTCCTGATGCATTCAGCAAACCTTTACCTGGCCAGGTTTGAGGTCCAGTGCTATGAGGGACACACAGATAGCCAAGACTCAGCTTATAACAAATGTATTGCCAAGAAATCTCTGGTAATTAAGTTTAATTCTTCTGTAATAAAAGATTTATGCATTTGGTCATTTATGAGCATATGAAAGAAGGGTATTCCTAAGAAGTATAAAGATCCATTTGTCCCAATTTATTATGCCTCTGCCCACACAGCTTTATGGCACTGATTTTATGTCCAACTACCAGACAAGTGAGAGAAGTAAACTCAGTATTTCTCCACAAAATAAATAAAAGCTTTGAATAGCATAGTGATTGCACATCTCAAAAGGGAAAGTAACAGCAATGTACGTAATACTTTTATTACTGAGTCTGCGAAGAGTATATGATGCTAATTGATGCAGCCCTTACTGTCAAACGCAGCTTTCTTTGTGTCTCAAGGACGGAAAAAAGTTTTGTCCAGGCTAGTATACACAGTGTTTCTTGAGCAAATTCACTTTAACTGGCTCCACGACACATCTATATGTAAATATATTACTTTGACCCTTGAACAACACAGGAGTGAGAGGTGCTGACCATCTCGCACAGTAAAAAATCCATATGTGACTTTTGACTCCCCCAAAACTTAATTATCAATAGCTTACTGTTGACTGAAAGCCTTACTGATTACATAAGTAGTTGAATAACACATCTTTTGTATGTTATGTGTATTATATGTGGTGTTCTTACAATAAAGTAAGCCAGAGAAAAGAAAATGTTATGAAGAAAATCGTAAGTAAGAGAAAAATACACTTAAAGCATTGTACTGTATTTACTGAAAAAAAGTCTGCTTGTCAGTGGACCAGCACATTTCAAACCCCTGTTGTTCAAGGGTCAAGTGTACTTAGTCTAGGTTTGGGGAGACGATGGGTTCCTCCCTGAGTATGGCGGTGGCTGTGCAGTGAGAACCTCTGCCATGTCCTCAGAGAGACCTGTAGAATGACTTCCACCTTGGGAAATCAACAGAAAAATGCTTTTGGCCAAGCATTCTGATACGAGCTGATCAGGGGAGGGACCAGAATGAAGGAAAGTTTCCTATTAATAATTCTGCCCCCTTGTACCGAGAGTACCTTTGGAGGCAAGAGGCACTACCCAATCCCAGGGAATCACAGGGCAACAGGAGAGGATTTTACTGGCACTGCTCACGGCGCATAATTTTATTATTTTACATCTCTGCATTGCTAGATAAAACTGAAGATCCTTTTGTCACCCCTGCCCCTACCCTGTAACCATATGACATGCTCAGATAAATTATGTTTGGATCTGCATGCTGAGTTGGTATTTCATTTTGAGTTGTAAGTCTAAGCCAAGCACATTTGAATTTTATCTCATTATCTCCTAGGACAATAAAGAAAAAAAAGAAATTACTTCACCACAAGCTATAAATGTTGAGTTTGCTCACCGCTGTGGAACACAAAACATGCAAGAAAGTGGTAGATGGGCACTGTAACCTAGAGAACCCCCTATTCCTACATTTTAATGGCCAGCTTTCCCCCAACATGACACATGCCTTCCACCCAGGACTTAACCTCAGCTGTCCTCGTCCTACCTGGCTGTGCAGCTGCCAGGGTCGGTAGTCCTCCTCGGCACACCGTCTATCAAAAATGGACTTGTAGTCCACCTTGACCAGCTGCCATTCGGAGCGGTGGCTGAAGTGTCCAAACACTCTACAGAGTTCAAATGATAAAAATAATCACAAGAGTAACAGGGCCCATAGCTAGCGTTTGCCGGGTGTTTGCTATGAACTTAGTATGATGCTAAACATGTTACATTGATCATATCAGTCAATCCTCAAAGCACATGTATGAGGAGGGTTACTATTATTGGCTCCCTATCACATCTGAGTAATTTCAGGCTCAGAGAGTATTGTTAATATGCAAAGAAACAACTAAGACCTGGCTGATTCAGAACACAGGGTGTCTGACTTAAAAACCCACTTCTGCGTATCGTACCACAAGAATGGTTGGTTGACAGAAAAGAAAAAAGAAAATAAGAAAAACATTACAAATGCTGCATTCTATGTGGTCCAAGATTACACTTGTAGGTTCTCTTGCTAATATACCTGGTTCCCATGGTTTCCATGCTATTTTACTTTCCCACCAGTCCCTAGGGAATGTGGTCAATGGGGCCAACTAGTTAGAACTGCTTCCTACACTGTGCACTCCACTCTCCTTATTCAGAGAAATTCGGGTATATAATGAGGCATTTGAATCACCAACCATAGATATCCGTGGATAAAAGCCACAAAGTAGCCTTTTCAGTCAGTGTTTTTTCATCCTAGTTTTGCAAATATGAAAACTGAATAAAGATAAATTATGGAACAAATTGCTAATTGAGCTATGTATACCAGGGGCAAAGGGTAGCTATTAGGCATATTAAATTTATGTTGATCTTTTCTATCATTAAAAAAGGGGAAGAAAAAATTAGAAAATGTACCAACTATTCACTATGATTTTTGATCACAAGGTCGACTACTTTAAAACCTTCTCTCTGTTTTCCATGTCTAATTTTCCAGGGGAAGAAAAAAAACTCACTGTTTCATATTTCAAATTCAAAGCTCATGTTTTGAAACCCTTAAGCAGGCAACTCATTAATCAAGTCTTTCACAAATTAATGATCGTCACTTTCCAGACAAGAATGAGTGCAAATGCAATTTCACAAGAACAGATTGTTCTCACAGTTTTCCTAATACGCCTCACAATTGGGTTAGGTAAAGAGCCAGGGAAAAATAAAATCCTTTGTGGGGTTTTGATCAAGCTCTGCGTTCTGCTTTAAAGTGAAATCATTCTTATATGCCTGTGATTTTCTATATATTGAGTTTATTATTAAAGTTTTAAATTTATAGTTTTATTTTCTGTTGAAATAATAATTTCTAATTTCCCTAAACCCATTCAGCATAGGAAAAAATAGACTGTGCCCTTGTGCTGCCAGTCCTCAGTATGGGTCTCCTAATTAGTAAAGAGCCAAGAAATTGGCCACGCCCACATTTTTCTTTCCCCTTTGTGAAGGAATCATGAAGTCAGGTGTACTGACCTTGCTAGTAATTTCAAATATAAGAGTAGCAAAGTGAATAGGCTTTGCTAAAAACAACATATTCCTGGATTTCTATTAAGACTAGAGGACATCATAGTTTTCCACTTACGTCATGATTAGAGTCTCTTCCCCAGGCTCGCCCAAAACCCCATCCACAAAGAGTGGAATAGATGTGAAACTGTATTTGCTCCAAGATCTCCCTTCATCAAAACTCAACCTAATGAAAGAAAAAAATAACAGGCATCAGATCTCAAGAGAAAAAAAAATCCTTTCAGAGGAAAAATACTATCAGCCAGGGAAGAATACATTTTATTTTATTTTTTATTTTTTATTTTTTTAACGTTTATTTATTTTTGAGACAGAGAAAGACAGAGCATGAACGGGGGAGGGGCAGAGAGAGAGGGAGACACAGAATCGGAAACAGGCTCCAGGCTCTGAGCCATCAGCCCAGAGCCTGACGTGGGGCTCGAACTCACGGACCGCGAGATCGTGACCTGGCTGAAGTCGGACGCTTAACCGACTGCGCCACCCAGGCGCCCCAAGAATACATTTTAAAAGTACTGGGGACACTGTCAAAGTGAGCCTTTTATGTGAATACGTACTCTTAATTACATCAGAAGGTAGAAATACAGTTAGCCAAGCGATTCGGGACCCAGATGTATTATAACAGCCATAAGGGGAGAGCTGCATGAAATCGGAATGATAATAAGTCTTTGATAGAATTTTTTTTTAATTTGGATATTTTATTAGATCTTAGATCTCAATGTGACTCTCTCCAAAACCTCAGTGCAATCTAGCAGCAAGTCTTACTGGTGATTCTGAAGAGCAATGGCCTTGTAAGACCTACTTAGATGGACTTGAACCAGCTGCCTCCAAGAGATCAAACCCTTGGTGGCTTCCGTCTTAACACTGTTTTGCATCCTGGCTGACTCCTTGAGTGAATGGGTACAGGACTGGCTCTTGCGAGTAAGAGAAGTCTGCAACTCTGAAGGTCACCCAGGATGTTTCCTTTGTTCTGTGTTTCCCTGAGGATGCCTTCCCCCACGCTAAGCCTCCATTTCTCTTATTTCCACAGTTTTCTCTTCAGTCTCCTAAGTAACTCACACCAGGCGGAAAATCAGGCTTTTGGTTTTGAACAAGCTTGCGCTGTGGAGAGAGCCCTTTTCAAAAACAGAGATGAAGGAGTCTACTAGAAACCATTCTGGAAGTTAGGCCTTAAATGTCCATCTGGGCAAGACCTACCGGTAGAGGTGCAGACTGGTAACCTCCTTCCCCCAATAGAATCAGGGGGAAATGAGATAGGGACAGATTTGCCCTGAACTGCTGATCTCTGTGCAGAACACACATAACGGACACACGTTAAGGCTCTCTTGACTTCTACCTATTTTACCTGACACACCACTGTACCTACAAGTGTGCTCAAAGAGTAAGGTACTGGGGAGGGCACTGTCATATTTGAAAACCATAATGCAGCTCTTCTCTCAGGGGTAGAATCTCGGTCTTTCTCAATATCCTTCCCTCCAGCCCCACCCCCACCTCCTTCCCTCCTTCTCTCTGTCTCCTTTCCTCCTCTTGTGAAACTGCTGGCGATGCCTTATTTTAATAGAGCAAAGGCATAAATGCTGTTCTAGTAGACTTTGACAGTTTATTGCAAACACCGTCACCAACTGATAGCCTGACTCCAACTGGTCTTAGCAGTATGGAACCATCGGGTGCATGACTCATGATCAGTGCCATTACCAGAGATGTCGAATCGGGAGAGACGTGTGCTTCATAGCAACCAGGACTCCACCTTGATCCAGATACAAAACGCTGTGCTCTTCTTCAAAGATCTGCAAGAGGAAAACATCCACATGGACACACACCCAGAGTTCAGAGAATTAGCCTTCATATGAGGAGGAAAAGTCCTTCCCATGATACACCAAGGTGTCCCCACCTCTTTGGAAAGACACCTATAAATAATGCTTCCCAAGGTGGGCTGCATATACCACTGGCACTGTACAAAATGATTTTAGGTGCACCACAAATGAACCTGAAGAATTAATAGTTATGTATTCATGCTTCTATTCCCATATTTTTATGGCAAGTTCTGTTGATTACCACTTAGGACCCACTTCTCAGAATGCAGGGTAACCATCATATTGTGTAACATCTTTGGATGGAAGAAGCCTTAGAGATACTTTACCCCAGCATTCTCGTTTCTACAGATGAGAAAACTAAGGTTTAGAGAGATGTGGGGACTTACCCAAGACCATGTGTGTAGTAATTCACGGGTCCGAGACCTGCGGAGTTATAGGGCCCTTTCCAGATGTAATTATTTCATGTTTTCCAAGTATTTCAGAGGAAAGCTGTTCTGGTTCAATTCATAGATTCTCTAGCAAGCCATATAGGAGTTCTGATCCAAATGGAATCATCTTTGGGTACACGCGTCATTTAGGTTTTTCTCCAAAAGTGGAGAAACTAATTTGAAGTCAAATGGAGATGGGCTACAAACAAGTTTCGTGTCCTCACTATATGAGATATGTGCTGTTTTTTTATAATTGCTTTGTTGGTGTCACCTTGTCTGCAGTTACACTACAGACATGATTGTTTTTCCCTTTGTTTATTTCTTATATCTAAGATTTACCCCAGGATTACAGATGTAAAAAGTCCTTTTCTTTGTTTCGGGTGTTGGAAGACACAAAATGGGATCCTGGCTTTCAAGCTGTTCTCCAGAGGAAGCTTAACAGTCCATGTTCCTACATACCTCCAAGATCACTAGCCCTGGGGATTCTTTTTATTTTTTTAAAATGTTGTTAATGTTTATTTATTTTTGACAGAGAGAGACAGAGCATGAGTGGGGGAGGGGCAGAGACAGGGGGAGACACAGAATCTGAAGCAGGCTCCAGCAATAGCCCTGGGGATTCTTAAGCAAATATCTTCCTGCTTTGCTCTCCTCAAACCATGTGAATCATACAGAGGGTCCATAAGGGGTCAGAAGCTAGGAAATGGTATCTTGGACTATAACATGGGCATCTCTATCTAAAACATAAAGCAGAGAGTTCTCACTTCTGTGTGATTACCTGTGCATTAGATTTCAATTTACAGGGCTAGTTACTGTATGATAATTAAACGTCAGTAGGTTATTAAAACATATTTATTGAAGTGTAACAACCGTGCATTAGGCACATATCTTGTTATGATTGCTAAATCTCATTAAATGCCTGTTTTATAAGCTATGGGTATCTAATTTTCATTTAGAAGAAAGAGAGGAAGCATTTAAGCTAAACATGTTGGTTTACAGTGATTCCATTTCTACTTTTCCTAACATATGCACCCTGATGGTTATGACTCTGTCTTCTGCACATAACATATAGACATTTCAGAACACCACCTGGGTAATGGCTATTTCAGAATCATTGCTTTCCTCTATATTCTGACTCTGAGGCAAGGGGAATTTATGGGGGAAGCTCAGTGCTGGGTATACAATCTACCCTCCAGCTTCCATGTTCCCAATATGATAAACTCTTTAGGATCCTGGTTTCCTTTTATGGAAAAAAATTCTGTCAGATCCGATTTGGTTTCATTGTCACTTATAAGCTTTCTTACATAGAGACTCTGAAAAAGGGTCATTTTTACTGAATGACAAAACAAACAAATTGCACAAATATTTGCTAAACTTTAAGACTCTCATAAAACAAAACAGGAAAATAAACACATTGACAAGCTTTAGGATTTATGTACAGCTGAATGAGTTCTCAGAATTTAACCCAGTTGAACAATTTTTATGTCATTTAAACTGCAGCAACTTGACCCAGGATACTTTCTCACCTGCCTCCAGGTGTTCCCTGCATCTGAAGAGACAAACATGCTGATGTCGCTGTCTGACAATTCGGAACCTATGTTACCTAGAAAGAGCACATCATCAGTAGTGAAAGGAGCTTTTCACAAAAGCTAACAATGGGCTGTAATGGCCATTTCCACTGCTTGAGATAGACTTACACTGTAAACACTATATCTGAGCAGGGTTTTTCTGCAGAGTTGCTTCGGGGTCAATGGCTTTAGGTTGACTTTCAAAATATCTTTTTGCTTACTCATTAAGTTTCCAGCACAGATATCTAGCTTCTGAAAATAAATGCAATCTTCCACAGCAAACCAACCAGGCAAGCTTCTTACCTGAAGCCACTATGATGCTGGGCGCTGTGTCTCTGCTGGCGATGATCCCTGAGGTGTAGGGGTTCTCAGAGACCTTCAGGTGAAGGTGCAGTGAGCAGTAGGGCTGTGAAGAGGAGAAATGAGTGTCATGAAAGCATATGATCAAAAAGGTCATCTAAAGTCCAGTTTCAGGGCATCCATCCATCCCATTCATCTATCCATCCATGCACGCAGCTTTCATTCCACAGATACCTGGGGTCCACTAAGTATAAGACAGCTGCCAAATTGGTGAAGGTGGGGGCCCCTTTGATTTAGGCCTATTCTACTGCCTTGATTGCCATTTGGTCATTCAAGAAATATTTCAGTACTCTATCTGAAAAACACGAGATGTAGCTTATGAAAGACTTACACTGACTAAATTTTGGTCTTTGCCATTATGAGATATATAGCTTAAGATCTTTCTATTGATTACCATAAAGAGAGACTATTTTAACAGTCATAAGATCAATACAGACGGAATATGAAGTTTGAGAGGCTGACACAACTATGTTCAATGCTGGATCAGAAAAAGGCTTTGGGGAGAAAATGGTGCCTGAGGCAATGATGTGTAGAATATGAACAGCAGGTGAGATGTTCAGGAGGATGAAGGATAGTTCAGGCCTAAGTGATATCGATAACAAAGAAAAGAAGCAGAATGAGTTTAGCTATAATACAGTAGGCAGCCAGGTTACAGTGAGGAGGAAGGATGGATATGAAGTCTGAAAAGAAGGTTTGGTCAGACTGGGAGGGTTCTGAAGAAGTCAGATGGCACCTCCTGGCCACCCTCCACGGGAGAACTTGGTCTCTGTTGTACAGAAGAAGCTGCGTGTGAAACTGTCCTAACATCTATCAGATGACTGACATAGTATCCATGTCAGGGAATTATCAGGATCAGTATTATTCAATATAAAAGTCATACCTGTAGACAAAATGTACTGGTAATAACAATTCAAATGAAAATTTAAGGGACTTGATGTCTGTGTGTAACAATCTCGATCAAATTCTCTGATGAAGCTATCAACAGTTTTCAAATACAGGATAATAAATCTTACACGAATTTCATTTAAAATAGTTCTGGTACTGAATTGTCAAAAACTACAAGTTTGTGTCTGAACCCACATCTCTTTTCATCTCTCAAAAAGATTATTTTCTAATCTTATCGACTTGAGTTTTTGGAATCACCAATGTATCTCTGTTATTACTTTCATTCTGCTCCGTAAGTCTCAGCCAGCAGATATTCAGAAAGCTACAGAGATGCAGTGATTAAATTTATATAGGATAGAGTAAATGACAAACAACAAATGAATCTCAGGAAGAAAAGCAGCCCAAATACTGGTGAAATAAAACCGTGGGTCACAACTGGGCCTTCCTCACGGTCAACACAGAAGGTAAACTCTCAAGGGAGAAAGATAGTAATAAAGACCAGTTTTGCATGGAGATTTCATAGAAAGTTTTCACAAAAGGAATTTTTACTTTATAATGTTCCGTAAGACAAAGGAGGGCTTCCCTTATAAAAAGAATCAGTGGCATGAGGTTGGGGGGGGGGGCGCCTGGGTGTCTCAGTCAGTTAAGTGTCCGACTTTGGCTCATCTTATAGTTTGTAAGTTTGAGCCTCACATGGGGCTCTATGCTGACAGCTCAGAGCCTGGAGCCTGCTTCAGAATCTGTGTCTCCTTCTCTCTCTGCCCCTCTCCTGCTTGTGCTCTTTCTCTCTCTCTCTCAAAAATAAATAAATATGAAAAAAAAATTAAAAATACAAATAAAAAGAATCGGTGGGAACTAAATGCTTGGCTTCCTTTTGCCCAAGAAGAAGACGAAGACGGGTACTGCTACATGTTCCAGAAGTTCCAGGACAGTGTTGCGTTGCACTCAGATAGATGCTAAGACAGGATAAAGAAGAGATATCAAACCATTTTTCCATAAAAGTTTTCCTGACAACGACAGCCTATCAGGTTCCCCTCCTTCTCTGATTTACAGCTGTTTACTTGACCACTTGCAATCTTGTCTTATCTGTCTGAGGTACCTACAGTTTTATCTCCCTAAGAGATAAACTGAACAAATAAAAAGAAACCACCTCCCTAAGAGAGAAACTCTACAAACAAAGAGAAAACTTTAAGTGCTACTTTGAATCTTCTGTGGAACCCAGCACAGAATCTAAAAAAGGCAGTCAATAAACGCTCGGAACATAAAGCAATGCTTTACGTTAGGACTTGAAAGACCTTTTGAAAACAGGTCTAGGAACAATTCCTAGGAATTGACCTAGGAACAATGCCAGAAGTATCTTGGGTTTATTTATAAACCACATAATCAGATTAATGTGACTATCGCCATGGCATTCCAAGACATGCCTAGCTCTTAGGGGATTAGCCTAGTCCCATGGGCTTTATGGAGGGACTTTTGTGTCCCCCACAGAGGGAACATCCTTGGCTAAGGGAGCACCTGGTTTGCAATCTTGAACCAGATGCTTGCCACCTACTTCACCACCCAACAGTCTAGAAGATTGTGATGCTCCCTCTCCACCCGGCCTGATCAAGGATTATTTGATATCTGGTCCTGGCTGTTCCAAAGAATAGAGGGTATTCTGGCTTGGTCACCTCAGCACCGCTCTGTTGCTATGGCTTTCAGAGCCCCGAGATAAATTAATTTGAGAAGAAAAGACACCAGTTCAGGCGGTAGCAGCAACATTAGACGTGCTCTTTCTGGTGCACTTTTTCCTCCACTCTCACATTTGCAGTACTGGATTGCCCCCAGCTGGTGTGAGGAGAATATTCTGTGGCTTTTCTTTTTTCCTTCTTCCATTTGTGCAAGGAAGTTATAGAGCCTGCATCAATGCTCAAAGAAAAACAATGTTAAGTGGTTTATCTTTACTTTTTTAAGTTAAACTTTTCTACCTGACCAGCTTTGAACATCTGTCAAAGTCAAATCACCAAAACTTAATAGACAGGTTTATTTTAATGCCACTGCCAATTCCTGCAGGACACAGGACAGGGCTCGCTAACTGTTATGCACATTTTGCCCAGGCAGGGGCACTTTGTCTACCTCTCCCTTCCTTCCTTCTTTCCAGCCTTCTTCCCTTCTTTTCTCCCATTACCTACCATGTCAGAAATACCGGAGTATCTTTGCAGAGTTATCTCCAATTCGGAAGAGTCAAAGTACAGTTTGCCACAAAGGCATCTATTTTCCTTATCTTTCCACATTAAGAAAATACAGAACTGTACCTTGAAACCACCAAGGCCTAGCAGCTGACTTACAGACAATGAAGGGTGCAGCATACATGTTTGGAAACCATCCTTTGTGTATTTACTCACACACAGTCACAGGGCATGGCATATCATCAACTGGTCAATACTAGAAGCAACTAGATCTCTTGTCTTTAATCTCTTCAGGAACAGGTTCAGATTTTGAGCATCTGAGGCAAGTTAAGGACTCTATCCCAAGGAAAATTACACAAAGGCATATGCACACAGAGTTTAATGTTCAATTTTAGGGAATTCACAGATTCCTGAAGCCCATTGTGGACCTCTAGCTCCAAGTTACCTTTCTCTTGTCTTATTCTTATATTTCTTATTTTAACCAACAAAATCCTTTGGCCATTGTAAATGTTCAATAAATGTCTGTTGGATTTACCTGATCCATTAACCAGCTACTATCTTCTGAGCATTGTGATTGACCAATGGAAAATTACTAAATGACAGGAGATATGCTCCCCACCATGAATTAAATCAACTAAAAAATTGTGAGATTATTTAAGAGTCAACCAGCATCTCATTCTACCTCCTCTTTTCCCCATCCTCTGCACTGACAGCCTTTGGGTCTCATCTTCATGGTACCCTTATCCCTAGGGCCCCTAATCTGAGTATTGTACTGAAAAGCCAAATCAGACCTTTTATCAATAAGGCAGCAGCTAAGGTCTTAAACAGTATCCTCCAAATCCACGCCTGAACTCACACATTTGTGCTATTTATGACCCTGAACTGGAGCTAGAAATCCATTAGATTCTTAGTAAAGAGTCAACAGCCTGGGAGAGAGAGGGCTCTGCACCAACAGGCTGACTCTGGGGGCATTGAGCTGCACTCCAATCCAGCACAGCGTGGGGAGTCACAGCCAGTGCAAAGGAGCAGAAAGCAGAGTCAAGAATCTCCTGGGGGTAGCTGGCTGCTTAGCTCCACTAGAGAACTGTCAACTGAATCCATAAAGAAGTCACAGCCTCTATCTACAGAACACTCTGGTTTCCCTAGGGACCCAGGATTTGTCACAGGCTCAGCTCACATCTCGCCTCTTGGGAACCCAATTCTGAGGCTTTGGTGGCAGGTGGACCATGACCTGTAATACCCCATCTAAGTGTACAATGCACTCTTCAGAGAAAAGAAATCCTAGCTGAGCCCTCCAGGCAATCAGCCTAAAAGTCCCAAAAATACAGCCCCAAATTACTCTGGATGTCTTATTTCTGTAGAATACATTTTACCAGGAACATTCCGTTTGGGGCTGTAATTCTGAACCTGTTCCACTCCACATTTGTAACAGCCCTGCTGGAAAATCTCCTTTCTAATCACTAGGCTGTGCTTTTGGTGACACTGTCACTTTCCAAGTACTCACAATCTAAAATCACTTTTTATCTCCTCTCTGCCACCAGCTCCCAAGCATAAAGAAGGTTCTTAACAGTCTGGGTCTCCTGTAGCTCAAAGATTTTCTTTACTATTTTGTGCTTTTGGCAGATTTTTATAAGTGATTTTGGTCCCTGCTCCCCACTCCCTTTGCTATTGCCTTTCCTCAGCGTGTTTTCTAAAACTCAGATTGAAACTACATCAGAGAGTTAATGAGGGAGGCAGGCCAAAGACTCCTGGGTGCCATACATTTAGAGCCCATTAATTCATCTCTCCTGGATCTTAATGAGCCTACTGATTTTCTTAACTGTGGGGTCAACCTAGGCCTCTCAGTTTCAGGGATGGATATTATGAATCCCTCTGTGTGGCTGTCAGTGGCAAGGGAAAGTTTCCACTCAAGTTGAAATGTGAAACTCAACCAACACCTGTCAGTGGAACATCGACTTCAGACAAACAACACCCATAACAACACATGTTGAACACCTACCACGTGGCAGGTAAAATTCTTGAGCTTATTCTTTGGAGTGGCCAAAAGACAGCTCAGTTCCTATACTCGAGCTCATATTTGAGCAGGGGAAGGTAGGCAAGACAGTCAACAAACATATGTGCTAATTTCAGAGAACGAGAAGGATCATGGATAAAAAAGAGTTGAGTCAAACTCTTAGAGAAAACTTAAGAAGCCTCTTAGATTAAGGTAATCCGGCAAGGATCTGAATGCCAAGAAAAAGCCAGACGAGGGAAAAGGCATTTTAAGAGAAATAATGGTGAATGCAGAGCCTAAGACATAAATGAGCAGAGTGAGTTAAAGGTATGCAAAAAAGTGCTGTCCTCCCCCACAATGGACTATGTAGAGAAGGAGAGAGAGAGGTGGGAGAACAAGCAGAAGAAGAAAACAGGGGCCAGACCACATGAGACTTGGCAGGCCATGGTAATGTACTTGAACTTTATTCTACCTGAATTAGAAAGTCATTAGAAACCTTAAGAACAAGATCTGAATTTTTAAAGCTCAAGTTGATCTCACTGACATAAAATTTGAGAAAAGAGAAATCTAATCTATAGTAAATGAAAGCAGATTTGTGATTGCCTAGGACCGGGGGCGTGAAAACTCACTGCAAAGGGACACAAAGGAAGTTTTGAGTGATGAAAATATTCTATCTTGACTGTGGTAGTGGTTACATAGGTCCATAACATTTGTCAACATTCGTCAAACTATACTCTGAAAGTGGGTATTTTCTTTTTTTTTTTTAATTTTTTTAACGTTTATTTATTTTTGAGACAGAGAGACAGAGCATGAACAGGGGAGGGGCAGAGAGAGAGGGAGACGCAGAATCTGAAACAGGCTCCAGGCTCTGAGCTGTCAGCACAGAGCCCGACGCGGGGCTCGAACTCACGGACCGTGAGATCATGACCTGAGCCGAAGTCGGACGCTCAACCGACCAAGCCACCCGGTCACCCCGAAAGTGGGTATTTTCTATGTATGTTTTACCTCAGTAAAGTTGGATTGAAAAGGAAAAGATCGCGCTGGTTGCTGTGTGGAGAAGAGATTGCCAGGTAGAGACGGGAGGACCAGTTAGGAGCCTCTCATTCCAGGGCAGGTGAGAAATGATGGCAGCTTAGATTGGAACAGTCCCAGTAGAGATGGATAAACAAGTTGATACTGCATTTGTATTTTGGAGGCATGGCAATAAGACTTCCTAAAACCGGGCTGAAGTTGTAACAGGGGGCCCTTCACTAAGTGCTTTGTGTCAGAGGCATTTCCACCCACGCATTTATGATGCCAGAGTGGTCACAGGCAAGCCTCGTCAGGTGATATGGTTAATTCGCTCTCATGGGCATTTTATCTCCAAAATGCACGGTGGGATGGAGGGCCATGTTGAAGCACTGGTGCATCCCATGCTTCTTTGGCTAAATACCACAATGCCCCGACTTGGAATAGCTAAACTTGGAAGGTGGCTCTGGTTTTTTAAAAAGCTACTGGACAATGAATACCCTGTATACAGTGGGTATTCAATAAATAAGTGTTACATTTACTTACTGTCACTGGCTTTGTGCACTTACTACCCCCCCCCCCCCCCCCCCGTAAGTTGCCAGTAATAAGGATAGTAGCTGAGTGGGAGGCTGAATTTTAACCCGCTTTCCTGATGCACAGTGACAACTGTGATATCCTTTGCAACTAATAAGGTCAAACTATGGCTGCTGGCATCTTCTCGAGTACAAGGGTGACCCGCCTACAGCTGTATGAGATGAACCTGCAAAGTGACTGTTCAGCCTTCCTGGGACAAAGCAAGCTGAGTGTGGATAACATCAAAGTGAGAATTGTATGAAGACTGCAAACACTGATATGTGCATATGTGTGTGTGTGTGTGTATACAAAACTTTCTTACTAAAACTAAGAAGTCTCCCCTCTAGGTTTACATACTGATCTCTCCTTTTTATAAATTGTTTCACAGAAATTAGCACTAAATTATACTTTGTTTTGCAATTAATCTCATCCTCCCCTCCTTCTGCATTCACTCAGTATCTATCCATGTATCAAGCACAGGGCAGCCCCAAAACCACTATGAAGAGTGAGATGTGACCCTCTACTCTCTCATTTATTAATCGAGTGTCTTTCAAGTGGACTGCAAACTCCCTGAAGGCAAGACTCAGCTCTGATCCTTCTCTTGGACATCTTCATATAATCAAATATAGAAATAAATTCATGCGGATCTATCTACACAGTGTCAAATGTTAGGCAACTAAAATAAAGCTTTACTTCAAAGCAGGGTACAGTAAACTTTCTTTCTTTTTTTCTTAAGGGCCAGATAGTAAATACTATAGGCTTTATGGACCACATAGTCCCTGCCACAACTATTCAATTCTGTCATTTAGAGCAAAACCAGCCAGAGTCAATTTATAAATAAACATGACTGTGTCCCAGTAAAACTTTATTTAGAAAAACAATTGATGGGCCATATTTGCCCCACAGGCCATGGTTTACCAATCCCAGCTATACAGAATGAGACATAGATGAATGGAACACATTACAAAGGGTACAAGTGAGGGTTTAAATCAGTGGTTCTTACCCCTTGTTTGAGGCATAAACTCCTCTGAAAATATGATTAAACATCTCTGTTGGAAAATACACCTATACATTCTGCTGTCAGTTCATCAGTTTTGCAGCTGAATTTATGCATCATTGGATATGTAACAAATCATTCATGCAAAAGTAAGGGTGTATCTCCCCACCATAGATGGAAAGGATCACATTCTCCCTTAAACTACAATTTGAGGTCCTCATCAGAACCTGGTCACAACTCAAAATCCTTGAAATGAGCAAGGAACTTACTCAAGTCCTCTTATCTCTTTGGCTTATCACACAAGGCAGCACAGCACCCCTTTTCTACATACTCTGCCTTCACTCCCAGCCCTGTCCCCTTTTGTTCACCAGTTAAGCAACAAGCCCTGGAACGATCTTCATCTGCTTATTTAATATCCAGTTCCAGCCCTTCACTGTGCGGAACATTCCTCTCCAATGTGAACACTCACCAGTAAGCAGTGCACGGGGTCCCCCCTTAGATCTGTGTCAGGCGCCTGCAGCAAACGCCAGTCTCGGCCTTTGTTATACGTGATGAAAGTCTTCACTTGGTTGTCAATCTTCTTGTTAGCCAAGAACATTCCCTTTATCCCTGCTACCTGGGAAAAATTGACATGGCTGAAAAATACATCAATTTGAAATGGGATATATTTATTTACCTTACAAAAAAAAAAAGCAGATTGTCCAATTCAGCTGTGAGCACTTGTGGAGGAAGGAGAGGGTGGGGATAGTGGAGAGGTGGTAATCCTCAAGCAGAATGGTTCCCTGAACTGTGGGACACACGGCAATAGGTCTATGCCCCTTATGGTATGGGTATTGTATTGTAAATTTGATAGAAGCTTCTTGTTTCCTCTCAGGTAAGTTGGTGGTATCTTACAGTTGCCTAGAGTTAAAATCTGGTGCTTTCATTTGTGCTGCTTGGTAAATGATACATAAATAGGACTAGTTTAATTTTATGTTAGGCATAGCACCCATGGTCTTAAATACTTTATCTCATTTAAACCTCTTGGCTAAGTATCACTTATTCTATTTCATATAAGAGGAAACTGAAGCTTATCCAGGTAAGGTGACTTCTCCAAGGTCATGCTACCTAAGGTCACACAGATAGTAAGTGGCAGACCTGGAAATTTAACTCTACTTATGGCTCCACAGACCATGCTCTTAACAACTGTCTAAACCATTGAGCTATTTACAGCCTTAGGCAATTGGAAAAGGTCAGTTAAAGCCCATGATCCAAATACTATTGCTTTTTCTCTCCCTTTTTTTTCTGTAAAAAGATCACTCTATTAAGTCACTGAAATACACTGAACAAAAAAGAACAGCTTTTAAATATAAAGACACAGTGATTTCCCTAAACTGTCAAATCATTCCCTCCTGCATTCCTATAGCACCTTGTTCCCACTAGAAACAGTTCTTGTTAATTCCTTGGCTCTGACAATATGTTTGCCTTCTCTCTTCCATACTTTAGGAAAGAGGTAATAATTGGTAAGTTGACAAACTGCAATAACAAATCATTAGTGTGTACCGTATTTTTCAAGTGTTTTAGAATGTATTAAATGCACTTATACTTCTTTTATATTCTACTTGGAATTATGACAACCCAGGGAGAGTGGGGGCCAATGGGAGAAAGGTCTGAATGTGTGGAACAGCACATTCCAGGGCTGTGCACAAGCCACCTCCCTTAATGTTTGCAGTAACCATGAGATAGAGTTATCGGCAGCCATATCTTGAGGATAAGGAAACCGGAACCCAATGAGTGGCTTTGTGAAGCACAGACTGGGCACTATGCCCAGTGCATAGTGTTTTCATATATAGAATGTAGTATTTATACATAAAACATAGTGTTTTATATATAAAACATCCGACACTCACTACAAACCTGCCTAACAGCTAGGACCTGGGTTCCATGGATGAGGAAATTGAGGTGTAGGCAAATTTTAATTGCTTGTGATGACAGAGTTGGGGTTCGCATGTAGATCTGTCTGACTTCCAACGCCCTTTTAACAAATACAGCTCTGAATTTCTCAACTTAAAGAGGTTGGGTTTCAATCAACAGAATATGTACATTTTTACCTTGGCTTTTGACACAGTCAAACCCCATTAGTTTGTACCTGCTGATTTGGCATCTGGGGTAATTTAGAGTTGGGCCAACTTCGTACTCCTTTGGAACGACAAGTTTGTTAAGCAAATAAATGGTATAAATGAGTAGCTGGGAGGAATACTTTGAACTACTTAGGAAAACAAGCCTCATTTCGAGAGCAAGCAGACAATTTCTTCTGCATTGTTGATTCTCGACAAATGCGGAAGACATAAATTCCAGGAGCACTGTACCTCCTGACAATGGTACGTCAATTACAAATAATATTTAGTTATTCACTATCCCAGCTCTACAAGGACTGCTCGCCAGGGAACCCCATATTGGTTTTGCATATGTTCCAGAGGCTGTTACATGTGTAAATATGACTAAACTGCCAGTTCTTTAAAAATTAGATTTCATAAATCAGAATTTTCACCAAGTCCTATTTTCCCTCCACAGCATACTCACACATGAGAAGCAATGCTGTCTTAACCACGCGACACTCTAGGTTACAATAAGTACGGAAAGAATAAAACGATTACCTATTCCAGTAGTTTCATTGCCCATTTTCCTTCCTGCCCTCTCCCTTTTTTGGCAAGAGTGTCAGAACAGGGTTATATGTGTTTAGGAGCTGGTTCATTTGATTTGCAGAAGCGGTGACTTTATTGGCCCCCGACTGCATGGCATTATCAAATGCCACTTGAGCAGAGAGCTGCGTTTTGTAATTCATCTTTGGCAGCTTGGCCTTCAGGTTTATCTTGGGGAATAAAAACGTGCCAAGGCAGAGGCAACGTGTGGCAATAAGGGACGGATCTGGAGTGGGTCTGCTGATTTTCCTCTTGTGGCCAGGGCGCTTTATCTGTGCAAATCCCATTTGTGGTGTCTTTTTCATTTGTCTTGCTTCTTTGGTCTGCAGAGACGGTCACCCCTGCTCTTAAGTTTCTTGTGCTCATCCACTGCTCCTTTTGCTCCGAGCCTGAGAAGCCCATCTCTGTGTGTGTCCAATGCGTGACACGCTTTCCTCAAGGGCTCTTTCGTGAGGTCTCACGCTACGGTTCTTGCAACCGCTACCCTCTTACTTTGGCTATCACTTTGGAAATCAAGGGAGTGGTGTTAGTGCCCCAAATATGGAATGTGTGTGTAGTTGTACGTACAACAGTGCATCTGGGGTTCCACTGAGGATGGGGGGACATGTTTATGTTGCGAGAAAACCTCCCTCAGTATTTACAGTATGTGCTGCTTTGGAATGAGGTGGGGCTGAAGGATGGAACAGGACAGGAAAAAGTAATAGTCCCTAGGAAGACATGCCTTCACATGGATACAGTTTCTGAGGAAGATGTTCCCCTGTGGGAATGACACAGCTCACTGTTGGGAGTTCGTCTTCCTTTGGGGAAAGACCTGTTACGTTTTCTACCTTTCTGAATTCTGCACAAAAATGCTGAGTGTATTGAGAAGCCACTTATCTTTCTTTGCCTTGCATATGGGGAATTTGATACCAGAAGTCTCAAAGGTAATCAGTTATTATTTCTTCTTCTCTAATATCATATGAGCCCAAATACCATTTTGATTAGACTTTAAACATGAAGTGTTACAGCTCAAACCTCAAGCCGACACAAAGCACATTGGCACATTCATTGTGCCCTAGGATGATAGCTTTGGAGGGCCACCCTCCCTTCTCTTATTTTACTCTCCTTGTTCACATAGGCTGTCCCCAACTCCCTTGGATAATATCCAGAAATGTCTCTACCCAGGCATACCTCAAAACCCAGCTCCATAAGCTCTTTTCCCAGAAACCAGAACCCCTAACTGTCCCCAACTCTTCCTCTCTTACCTCCATTTTGTCCCCCAGATGACATCATGGCTCTCAACAACTGTGTAGGTTTTTAAGAGCATCAGTCTTCCCCCAAACTTCTCCAGGGCTCCTTACATTCCTTACCATGATATAGTCATCAGCACTTCTCCTGACAGATCTCACACTACAGTCTCCCACTCTAATGTAACTTTTGGATTATCGTTCACTCCACCATACTCCCTCACGAAAATGAATATTAGAAGAGTCACTTTGTATAAGACTTATTTTGCTTTTAATAAAATAGGTAGTAAGAATTCTGCATTAGAAGATAGGAGAGCAATAACACTATCCCATATTTACTGAGTACTTATGAAGCGTGAGGCACTATACAAAAGGTTTTGTAAGCATGAGCACATTAATCTCTCATGCACTCGAAATGGCAGAGTCAATGATGTCCTCATTTTACAGGTATGCAAACCAAAGTTTGGATGGGGTCAGTTACTTCCCTAAGATCATTCCCCAGAGAACCTTATAGCTGGACTCCACTTCAATCTGTCTAACTCGAGAGCCCACACACTTAATGCTTTGGGCCCTACTATTTCTTCAAATTTCTCAGTCATCCTAGAGTATTCTGAGAGAAATGTCAGGGATGGGATGTCATACTTACTTGAGGCTACCTTTTATTCGTTCTTCAGTACGTTTCCTTAATAGTTATCCCATAAATATTGTTTGAGCATCAACTATTTATCATGCATTCTTCCAAGCACTGACGATAAAGCACCTAGAATGTCTAAATAACTATACGTTCATTGAACAAATTGTTTTTGACAGTGGGAATGTGTTCGGTGCTGGGACTTGGGTTTCTTTGGTGATTTTAACGAAGAACCCTATATTCTTCCTTTGTTTTTTTAATATGCATCTCTAGAGGGTGCTCTTCTCTCCCAAACTTTCTTTCACATGTTGCATGTGGAGGCTAAGCTAGGAAAACCCTTGCACAGGAGTTTTTGCTTGTTTCTGACTCTACTGAGGATTGGGAGATGATTCCTCCTACCCTCTCTGTCTCAGACATTAATTACAAATCCAAAGTGTCAAAATTTGGAAAGAATAAAAAATATGAATCAACAAGTGTAGCTAGAAAGAGAACATATCTGTGACCATAATTTCTTCAGGCTTTGGAGACAGGATATTTTTCTGTTCTAAAGAGAGAACTGCAGCCAGGAGAGACACATACTCAGGGAGAGCGGGGTCAGGGGTAACTCTGAAATCAAAGAGCCCACTCCCCCGAAATGTCCAAGTGTTCTTTTCTTCCCTATTGCCTTAACCAGGCAACACCACCCTACTAGGGAGAGAGTAAGTAACCTTAAATACAATTAGATGGTACATTCTGTGCCCAGTAAGAAATATATCTTGGAGGGGCGCCTGGGTGGCGCAGTCGGTTAAGCGTCCGACTTCAACCAGGTCACGATCTCGCGCTCCGTGAGTTCGAGCCCCGCGTCAGGCTCTGGGCTGATGGCTCGGAGCCTGGAGCCTGTTTCCGATTCTGTGTCTCCCTCTCTCTCTGCCCCTCGCCCGTTCATGCTCTGTCTCTCTCTGTCCCAAAAATAAATAAACGTTGAAAAAAAAAATTAAAAAAAAAAAAAAGAAATATATCTTGGATAGGAAAGCATTTTTCTTCTCTAATTCCTATGTTGGATTATAAGAGGCAGCCTTTCCCTAAGAAGTCAAGGTGTCAGTACATCATCGCAACTGTTCGGCTTTCTCTTTTAAAGAGGTGCACTCATAGTGTGAAGAAGACACTATGTGTGCAATAGAACATGCGCTGCTCATTGGTTATGTCTTCCATCATGCCCACTGTGCCCACTCATGTATGCACACATTCTGTGCATCCCCAATTTGCCAGCCAGGTGGCTTGACTCCCAACACAGCCCTTTCCACTTGGCTGGGATAAACTGTCATTGCCCATTAAGCCAAAGTGCTCTTCATCATCATTAATTAATATTCCCTTCCCACAGGAGGATGGATATTGTCCAAAGCTGTCAGACCCCCTCTCATCATCCACACCAGACGGATACACTAGGAATCACACGTCTCAGACACACTCGTCATGTCTTTTTTGCTCTGGCCACCGTCAAGCATGCGGTCTTCTCTTACCCATCCCCACGTGATGCCCCTGGAGAGTTTGTGCTATTCAGGAATGACAGAATTTTAGAACACTTGTTTCTAGGCTTCTCTGAAAGAAACATCCACCAGACAAAATTGGAAGGGACATGACAGTGCTGCCTGAATTTAGCTCTAACTACAGACTAAGGTGGTTCAGAAGGTGGTGAATAGGTCCAGAGAGATCATTTGCAGATCCTGAGTTGGCCTTTCTCCAAGACTGTTTTCTTTTTTCTGTCTGGTTTCTTCTACTTCTAGGTAAAGTCTAGTACTATTTATCCTACCTTTCAAAGTCTTTTCTTAGGGATATTGCTGGGCCACAACCAAATACAAGCCCAAATCTTTCTAGAGACACAAATAGTTTGTTGTTAAGAGTTTGCATACTCTAGGGACACCTGGGTGGCTCAGTCAGTTAAGTGTCCGACATTGGCTCAGGTCATGATCTCATGGTTTGTGGGTTCGAGCCCCACATCGGGCTCTGTGCTGACAGCTCAGAGCCTGGATCCTGCCTCAAATTCTGTGTCTTCCTCTCTCTCTGCCCTCCACCATTCATGTTCTGTCTCTCTTTCTCTCAAAAATAAATAAACATTAAAAAAGTTTAAAAAAAGAGTTGCATACTCTAGGATTTAGATCTTAATTCTGCCACTAGCTTTGTAATCTTGCAAAGATGATTGCATTCTTTCTGCCTCTATTTACTCATGTTTAAAATGGGAGTAATTATAGTCCTAGTATCATAAAGTTAATGTATGGATTGAATGAGATAATAATGGGAGGTTCTTTACACAGTGCCTGGCACATACTGGCCCCTAAAATATTATCCATTGTTATTATGAACCTTCATCAACAAAAATCCTTATCTAGCATTTTTGCTCTGTGGACAACTCTCCTGGTCAATGGCCGACTGACACTGAAGGAACATTCTAGCATTGCAGTGATTAAACCACGTAAGATGGTCACCCAACACTTGGTCCCCAGCACTCTCTACGTCATCACATACACACATGTGCTTCTAGGGCAGAAAGGGCTACATTTGTTGTAAGGTTCTAATGTGTGTATATGAACATAATGATTGATTTTAATGAGACATGCGCTTCCTTTTGCATTTCCCACAGACTCATCAACAGTACATTTCCTCAATACACGGACTCCTATTGTTACACATTACACAGTCGGCCTCTGCTGAAACAGCTTAAAGAGCAAACAGCAATGGCAGGTAGTTGGCATGCAGAAGCATACAAGCAACGGACTCATGCTGTCCTCCTCAGTCACCCCCAAATGTGAGCAGACGTGCACTCCATATATTCTGTCTTTGTTACCCCTACCTCATATGTTGCTCATCTCTGCTCCTTATTAATTCATTTACGGATTTGCTTACTTTTCATATACCTCTAAGCACTCATCATTCATTGCAATTCTACTGGGAAATTCATGCTGGAGGGCTTTCAGCTTTCTGCTAGCCAGAACAATCAGAGTTAAGGAACATTTGTGCCAGGTTCCACGTCAGCCAATATTCTTTCTGTCTAGGTAATCAGCAGATTCGGCACCGCCGTTCTGATCACATCAAGTTCAATTCAAGTTGCTGTGAACTGTCAGGCTAATAAAACCAAAGACAGTTCTTCCCCGGCCCCAGGACGCAGAACACCTTTACATAATGCAGTCACACCACCGCTCAAAGTGATGATAATAAGAGCCAGCAGTTTCCCTACAGACAGTCAACTGCAAGAGAGACACAAAGGGGAAACATAAGGATTAGCCAAGAAATGGTTTGCCGTGTCCCGAAGACACCCTGTTTCCTTTTCGCATTCCGTACCTGTTAGCAATGTTTGAATTCAGAAAATCATTCATGAAAACAAGTGTGAATCACAGAACATGGCAAAGTCATTCCTGTCCAAAGCTGTCATCTTTTCCATCATCAAGGGACCAATTAAAATGGTCTCTGTTTTGGCAGAAGACAAAATTTATCCAAAAACAAAACAAAACAAAAAAACCCCAAAAAACAAAACAAAACAGAACAACAACAACAAACTATTCCACAATAGATTGAAAAGAGGGGAGCAGTTAATCAGAAAGGGAAAAAAAATGCAACCTGAAAACCAGAAAATATTTTCGGGAGAACAGGGCAGAGTCAAGACCAGGGAAACAAATTGGGTGATTGATCTGGGGCAGCTGCTTTGACTTCTTATGAGACTCTTGAAGCAAGCTATTTCCATCGTAAGTGCTGGATCAAGGCATGCAAATGAATGACATTTTCACAAAACACATTTAAAGTTTAAATGTTTATACAGCATTTAGAAGTGAGGAAAGAAATGTGGCAATTTACACTTGTTTATAAGAAGACAAGTAGTTGGTGTTCAAGAATTACTATGGCCATGCTAAGTGCAATATGGGAGGCAAGAGAGATCCAAAATAGTAGAAATGTGTTGGGTATTTAAACAATATGGGTAGATTTTAAGACTATAAGAATATAGACTTTAAGACTATAAGAATAGTCTTAAAGCCTAAGTCTTATAGCTTAAACTCATTGGACTATAATATTAATTATGCTATCTATAATTTGTTGAGCATTGATGTATTTCTGGAACCATTTTACAGTACGTTAAGATGAACACAAGTAATCCTCAGAGAAATCCTATCAAGTAGATACTATGTATATCTCCATATTTTAAACAAGGAAACTGAGGCTTGGAAATTATTGGCTTTGTCTCTAGAATACATACACATGGGTATAGCTAGGATTTAAATCCAGTCAACCTGACTCCAAAATTTATACTTTAAATCACAAATTTTATCCAACACAAATTTGAAACTAAATCACCAGAATATGTAAATATTTTCCAGAATACATTTTCAGATTGAGACTGAGATATATGATACTATATTTATCTGGAACATGGGCAGGAAACGAGTGGAAAAAAACTTGTGAATGTGTAAAAAAGTCTGCAGTGCATTTTTCTAAATATATACACACAAACTATGTCCCATGCTAGTCTGCACTCTGAATGGGACATACAGTTTGTTAATGTGCATTTATACATACAGGGAAGTTTAGATACTAGAAGAAAATCCCCAAGAGCCCCTAAAGGAAAAGAGAGGTAGACAACATTAAAAAGAATTACAACAGTGGGTTTAAATTTCTTAAGTGAAATTGGATCCTTTCTTTGATATACTGGATATTATTCCCTTGCTTCTTGTTATTTAAGCAACTTCTTGACTTTCTGAAACTCATACTCAACCAAAAGATAGCATCATTATGACTGTACATATTTGAATCCATTCTAGATTTTTTTTCAGATAGGATATAGGTATATGATACAGACACTTCCCAAATTCTGAATACATTTTGTAATGGCTCATTATAACCCATTATAAATCTTTCATAGTGGAAGGTAAGACTGACAAATGGCTAAAATCCATCCCCAAATAGCAGCTTTCTTTCTACCTAGCTGTGCTTTAAATGGCAATTCAAGTGTTGGCATTTGTCATGAAAGCTAAGTGATCCAACATGTATGATTTTATTTTGTACCTTGGTCATTTTGAGAAGCAAAAGGCCGTAGTTCTCTTAGGGAATTATGGTAAACTTTGTTTTTTGTCTTTCCTCCCCCCTCCCATTTAGGAGAGTAAGACCTATATGTTTGTCTCACTCACTGGCCCTCTGAGAGGATGACAATTAGCCAATGGAAGTTATCTAATGAAAAAGGTATTCAGGTCCAGGGCACCTGGGTGGCTCAATTGGTTGAGCATCTGAGTCTTGATTCGACTCAGGTCTTGATTGACTCTCACGGTTCATGAGATAAATCCCCAAGTTGGCCTCTGTGCTGACAGTGCAGAGTCTGCTTGGGACTCTCTCTCTCCCTCTCTCTGCCCCTCCCACCCCCTTTCCAAACAAATAAATAAATATTTAAAAAAAAAAAAAAGGTATTCAAATCCAATGGGAGCATCTTCTGATCCAATGCAGAGTTGCTTCTTTCTTTCTTCAAAGAGAGAGGGAACATGCCCACTACCCCTTTGCTCACATTGGGACACCGTGTCTGTCCTTCAAGATTATTTTCAAAATTCACATTAGGATCACTCTTGTTCAAACCTTTCAATTGTTTGACTGCTTCTCCAGATACTCTCTCTAGGTCTCTGAGACTACATGGCCTGTGGACTTCATGAAAAAATAATTTTTCCCACAGGTGTTCTGTAGATTAAAAATTAACCAACAAAAATGCTCTATAAATCCTTTCTTCTCCCGAATGACATGAGGCCACGTAAGGAACTAATAATTAAGATGATTAAGGCAACAGCCAATGGTAGGCCTTTACCTTCAGTCCAGGCACTACAGGGGCTCAGGACTGCACATGCCTCGTGACATACCTCATAGAGGTCAATCATGATGTTTCCCTCAGGACCTCTGCTGCTCTGAACATTCTCCAAGGCCAGCGTGAAATAGACCCCACGGGTGTCTGAGATATAGAGGTTATAGGTGTCATTTTGGTTCCATTCTTGCACTGCTGCAAACACTTGATTCTCATCTGTGCTGATGACGTGCATGTCCTGAAGAAAGATACAGAGGATCAAGAGGTTCGAACATTAACATGGCATGTGTCCGAAGAGAGTGGAATCTAATTAAGACCAACAGGATAGGCACTTAGGCACTGTAGTGGAAGATAGAAATTTTCCTTGTGTATATTTGTGAACTAAGAATTGATTAGGTTAGCATTAACCATGTATTTCCTTTGTCATTTGTGAAGTTAAGCAGTAAGGCCATGAGAAAATAGGACAGAGAAATGCTTGGTAGCTCACTTATAATTTAATTACTTCATTAGATAAATGAAGAATACCTTCTCAAATATGTATGACTTTGGAGAATCAGTCATCTTGATATACTTGCCAGGCACAAACATGGTACATGTTCAGAAGGCTTATGTGGGGCAAATATGAGGAAAAGTCAGAGAGACAGAGAGAAAATAGACAAGCCCTGCATCTCTCAGTGTGGTTCATGGACCACCAGCATGGGGGCATCACCTGCAAGCTTGTTGGGCACACAGAATCTCAGACCCACCTACTGAATAAAAAATCTGCATTTAAATAAAATCTCTCACTGATTCAGAGTTCTGTTAAAGTTAGAGTTAAAGTTCATTAAACTTTAACTGTTAACATGTTAAAGTTTGAGAAACACTGCCCAAGGCTCAGCAACTCCCAGAAGCCCACGAGGAAAACGAACGTTTCCTGAGAACCCCAAAGCACTAGCTGTCATGTAAATGAGGGCTCAAGCACTTGGTGGTTTATCTAAACCTTTACTCTGAGAAGTTCACTGGAAAACCTTAAGTGAGAGAGGGAAAAAAGTAGACTGCTTAACTGATGACACTTTCAGACTCTGATAGTTCTGGAAGATAAAAATAAGGCAAAGATAGTATGGAGGCAGTGAGTAGATGTCCCTGGGGTGGGAATTCCAAATCCTTTCTTCCCCATTCAGAACTCCAGAGTAGCGAATATTCAGGGAGAGTCTGACATAAACCAAGGCTTGCTGTCTCCCGCGCACAAGCTCTTGGAGGCCTTTCACCCTTTGCCCAAGGCAGCAGACACTGGTATAACTCTCAAAAACCAAAAACAGAAACAAAACGAAACCAAAGCCAGAATTATATAGAAGCACAAAGACAGAAGAACAATAAGGAAATATTCTTGGCCTTTGTGCAGCTTAATACTCAAATCTTCCCAGATGGATCATCCTCCATTCTTGAAAAGCTTCGGGAGATTGTTCAATGCTTTTTGGCAAGAATATCAGTGCTAGAAAATTCTACCTAACTTCTATCCTAAAGCTCTCCTTGTATATGCTGACGTTCTTTCAATCAAACAAAGGCAATTCAGCTTGGATTCTGCTCTAATGTATAGGAACAAGTCTTTCTCCCCATTACCGGGATCACAGTGAATTCCTATGACCCCAGAAGGAAGAGATCCTCATGCAGACAGCTTCATATTCCTTCACCCCTACTAGGTACCACATGCCATACTCCAGAATTTGATAACGTTTTTATAAAAAGAATACAGAGTAGGAGGCCAAAAATGAATCCTTCCCATTAATTCACTGCAGGTCAATAATGCAAACTTATGTTTTGTATGGAAGTTGGCCATTGCTTATATCAGCCAAATGTCTATTTCCATTTCTTCAGCTAACTGTAGCTTGATGTTCTTTGACAAACACCCTCATTGCTCTCCGAGAAATTTCCTCCCTGTACTCAGTCTTTGCTACTTTCTTCCACCCTCAGCACCAGAAATGAGCGTGTTGAATATGCAATGTCCCTGACCACAGTGGTTGGATCAGTGATGGTATGTAACAAAAAGCCAGTAAGACAGAATTATAGAATGACTGCGGCATTATTAGAA